ATCACAATGCCATGAAAGCGACGAGTTTTAATGGAACCTTTGGCAAAAGCGCATAATTCAATGTTAATCGATGCATTTCAATCCTTTATCTGTCTTTTGTGCTACAACAATAACCGAATCATTGAAATGCGCTCCGTTGTCAAATAGAAATGCGACTGCATCGGAATTGCGCGAGTGTGTGCACTTTTCGCTTGTGCGGATTATTGTATCATAAGATTAATAATGACGTTGAAACTGTTCAATGTGACGTATTGAAAGAATAAAGAGCATTCCACTCATGCACACACACACACTGACACACAAAGTACACAAAGGAAACTAATGAATTAAGTTACAAATTAATTACATGACGTTTACATATATATCATCTTCACTTTCGAACCATGTTTGTGTCAAATCAATAGACCATTCCACTGCCGATTGTTTCGCAAGAATTTAAACACATTGTTCAATAAGTGTCAATAATGCTGTTCATGTTCAAAGCCACCACCTTTGTGTTCGTGTCCGGACTCGAGATCACGAAGTCATTCATGACGATGGTGCACAACTTCGAGGTATGTGTTTCAAGAGGCAATAAATTTTAATTGCATTTTATTGCAATAAACAGATTAATTCGGTCATGTACACGAAGCAACCGAACCCCACGCATCCATACCACAAATTCAAAGTCGCAGCACAGCCAAATAGAGTGGAAGAACTTACACAATCGGATCGAGGGTTGAGACGGTGTATGTACTGCTGCTGTCTAATTGATAAAGTTAAATCTCTTGTGCAATTTCATGTATCGAGTCCATTAACACATTTTACTACCGAAGAAACTTTTAGTGCTAACTTTTTATGACAAAAAGTAAGTGGTTGATCCGATGCAATATAGTTTAGTGGATGGATTTTGTAGCACATTTTTGGGGGCAATAAGATGCCAGTCAAATGTTCAAAATTAAATTTTTCTACCTATCTGTAATACTCTTTAATTTCACAGAAGATTACTTCAAATTGTTTTCAAATTTGCTTCAACTTCGACGCAAATTCACACACATACTTCTTTCTCTGTGTGTGTATGTTTGTTGTTTTTTTTTTTTGCTCGAGGAAATGACTGAACACCAATGCTTATGCATTGAGTGTGGTGTGTCATGTCATTTTCCTTGAGACCGTCGTGGATTTACAGTCCTATTTATCGTTTATCCGCATTTGCTCACGATGATAGTGTACTTTTCGAATAGACGATTTATTTTGTGCTAAATCCATAAATGTCTGGTCTCGTTTTGTTCACTTTTTCCTCTATTCTCAATACACATTTTGGAGTGAAAGAGCGGCCAAAGCCCGACAATTGTAAAAAACCACGAAATAAAGACAGAGATAGTTCTCTCTATCGAAACAAAAGTCACAACCAATACTCCATATTGTACAGAGAAGCAAAAGCAAAGTCAGACAAAAACAAATCGAATTCAATAAGAATCGATCACCAGAGGCGAATTACGTTGGCCGAGTATTAGATAAACTTCTTCGTGGCTGTATACAAAGTTCAGACTTTAGTTTTGCAAATATTTTCTTCTTCTTCCTCTGCTTTACCGATAAGATGCAACGAAATGCAACAGAAAATAATTGGCTAAACAACTCCTCTTCTATCGGTTGATAAGTCTTGTAAGTGCTTGAAGAAGATGGCTGGCTTTGATGCCAACTTGAAAAATTACTCGATGAAAATGCGAAACCGCTGAACGTAAATCATGCCATGTACACAACATACACTTGTGCTAAATAACAGAAAAAAAACAGAAAAATATTGCAAGCGAAAGATCTGGGAAATCAATAAACTCGAAAATAGAATTCCACTTTTGACGTCATTGTTTGGATTGAAATGCTATTTACCTGATGCCTTCAACAATGCTCACTGATGAACTATTGATAAACTCAAGTATTTTTAATATTCTTTTATGAGGATAAGAAGTTCATGTTTGCGCCGTATTTTCCAATGAAAATTCGATTCTTTTTGACGTAACTAATTATGTATCGCTATGAAAACCGGTTAATCCTTATTGCTGAATAAAAAGTGTATCAAAGCTTTTGTTTCTATTTTTGAATGGTACAATGAAAAACACTAAACTCCTCTTAACCATTCACAATTCAATTCAGCAAGCACTTGATGCAGCAGCAAAAAAAAAAAAAAAAAAAAAAAAACAAACTAAACAAGAAAAAACCATTTTGAATCTGGGAATTTGAAAGGAGTTTGCCACTCTTGTTGTGTCGAATATTTCGAATTTAGGTCGCTGTTACTTTGTCGGCAGCAAACATTTTTTGCATATTTTACACAACAAATGGGAGTACCAGCGCTAGAAAGAAGAAAAAAATCAACAACGACAACAACAGAATTGTAAACAAACTGATCATAAAAATTCATGTTTATTAAGTAGTCCCAGTGACGTTCAACTTTTCATGCGATGCACTTCACGAATATAAATGCATTCGCAACTTAATATAGACAACAATCGTAAAAAAGAAAACACCTAAAAAGATCGAGAATAGAGAAAGAGAGAAAAAAAACTAGAAGAATCCGAAACTAAAAGAACGAAAAGGATACAATACTGATGAACTATGTACAACATGCAATTTTGATGGAAAAAATGCGTTTGAAAAACTCTGGCAAAAGACAAAAAAAAAACATTTTCGACAAATATGATGCAATTAAATGAAAAATAAACTTAGCAGTTTTATCGTTTCGTTGAATGTTGAAATATAATTTAATTTTAACGATAACGACAAACTAGCACGTATTTGTTGGCAAGCAACTTCCAAAGTTTTCTCTGCGTTTTCTTAATTCACCAAACGATATTTTTGGTTTATTTATTGCAAACGAAAAAAAAAACCGAAATTAATTTTTCTTCTCTTTTTCCCAAAATAAAAACAGAAATAAATGCTGCATTTGAATGAGATCCATCGAGTTTATAATAATAAATATCGACTATTACCAACAAAGTTGAAAGCCATTTCAATTGCCTTTTGAGGTAAACATTTGCCATGCATTTGCATTTGCGTATTTTCCGCGAAAACATGACATGTTTGTATGATATCAACCAAGCGCAGCGACTTATTCAATTCCATTTTTCCATTGAACTGTGTGCATCTCGTGTTTCATCAGTTAAGCCTAGGAAAATATTCATCCAACAATTTGGTGTGCTTTTTTTTTGTTCATATACCTACATTATCTATGTGTCGCTTCTGAAGCATTTCCTGTGCTTTTTTTCGCCGTGCGCACTCCATTCACTTTTTTTCTGGTTCTCGTTTCCATGATGCGAAAAACCATTCACTATGAAATTGAATAAATGGTCGCATTTTAAAACCATGTCTCTCATTGTCAGTAGAATGGCATTAATACACTTGAAATCACGTACAGCTGAAATCAACATGATACACTTCGCTTGATTTATAACCAGCATGCCATTGGATTCGCCATTGCAAACTGTCACGGGGGCATCGTAATTCATTTGCATGGCAATTTCTGATTCAGTTTGTTTTTTATAGTTTTCTATTTGTGGAGCAACAAAATCAATTCTTGTGACTAGATATTTGCGCATCGGATCGAGCACACAGCAGCAAAAATAACAGATAAAAATAATAACTCATCGTTCACGTTTGAATTTTTATGTATTTCGCCATTCAACTGATCATTATTTACGTGAACTTTCATTAAAAGTTCGAATTTGCCTATTTTTAACTCAATCAATTCAATAAATTTTAGACATAAAATCATTTTTTTTTTGCAGTTATTTTTAGTACGGCTACAGACACAATGAACATTTTATATGGTACTATGTGAAAACGAGTATGATACATAAGTTTGTTTCTAATGTGAATGTAATATACATTATGTGCTCTCCTGTGACTAATTTTTGCTCCAAACTTTTATAAATTATTCATGGCGCTCCATTCAAAACAAACTAAAAGCGTATTTTCAGCGGTTTTCCAACACTTTGTTTTTGGTTTCTTTTTTTTTCATATTTTTCCACGCCGAAATAACGTGTATAAATCAAATAGTTTGGATTCTATTTTGGTGTTAATGGATTTTAAAATTTCTCATCAAAAATTCCATATTTTGCCGTAAATTTATGTCGAATAGCAAATGTCTATTTTTATGGCCATTACATGTAATTTACGTATCCACCAATCAAACGTATGAAAAAATACGAGAATTTAATAGTAAATGCATGTTCGACATCTATCGTGTTTTCATTCTTGGAAATACTCACTCTTTTATATATCATTTGGATTTATCCAAACTAACAATTATATGTGCTTGGCTTCCTTTTACATAATAGCACACGATTGAGATATTCCATTGTAACATCGACTGAGCGAAAAACGTGCTGGCGATAAAATCAATCTTACATTTTCAATATTTTATTTTTGAATAAAATATTCCGGGAATTTTGTAGTCACTGCAATATAGTCAGCAGTAGTCAAATAACGTTTTGATTCTCAAATTGTGTTTAAACTTTTGCAAAAGCATGTGTCTGTATTGAATGCGTGGTCAGTCGTTTGTCAACCATTCTGGTCTATCAAATGAAAAATTAAACAAAAACATTTGTTAAATAAGTTGACTGGATAAAAGCGTGCATTTAAAATGTTTGCTCCGTTTGAATATTTTGAAAATGAAAATTGGCGTGCGCGTGTGGTCTTCATTCAATAAATTTCGTTTCGAACGAAATGCAAACGTTTTAATCAAGCTATAAATAAACAGAAAATGTCGATTTAATTGATGAAAAACACGGCTCGAATTCAATCACCCAAAAAATGACATAATTAAACACATTTATTGACTTGTTTCAATTTAGTGACGCACAAAGCGTGCACCGGATCGCATGAATATTTATTATCACATTTATATGCAATACACTCTTTGGCTTTCTCTCTTTCTCTGTCTACATACTGAATGTTCTATCAAAAAATTTAAATAAATTTACGAAACAAAATTTTGAAATGCATGTATTCTTTTTCTCTATTTTCAGGTTGTTCTATATCGAAACTAGATGAAAATGATTCTACAAAAGAATTCATCATTTTTACTGGTAAGTAGATTCATTCATCTGTGTTCCATAAGCTGATTGTTATAACATTTCAAACAACAATTATTTTAGATTACGAAGCAACAAAACATTAAAATATTTAATGATGGTCCTATCATTGTGGTAAACCGAAAAAAAAGAGAATTGATTTTTCTTTCATAGCTTTTGCATAGAATTCGTCTCTAAATAAATATTATGATATCGTTTGCGTGGCTTGCATTTACATCCATCTCTCGGTTGAAAAGTTTCCCACTTCGATGATACCGTTGCAAGAGGACCGCACCAATACACGTTCATACGGTCGCTTTACAAACATCTATTATAGCAGGCATATAGCTTTTGTATCGTAGCACGTCCATGTTGTGTGGACGAAATATATTCCAAAACTATTAACATCAGCATCTATATTTATTTATATGGTTTTTGAAACTTGATGCACATAGTTGAATATACGCATATTTTGAAATTTGTCTCCCAGTCTTTGGTCCATGAATTGTTCATGCCGATTCTTGTCGAGTCGTTTGGATTTATTTTTTATATTTTTGGAATAGTACAATGTATGACCAAGTGGAATTTTCCGATAGATGAGTGCCTGTATTCATATTATCCGCACTTATGTTATAAATAAATAAATTGTCTATCTGTTACCGAACGCGATGCAAAATATACGATGCACTGAGATAGACGGAGCCAGAGCATACACCGACTGAATCTGTATCGACATACCAGAATATAGTGATTGCGTATTTGCATTGAAATGGCAGAAAATGTCGAAATTCAGACTGACTGCAGCATTGTATCATCATCCCTCTTTGTATATACTAACACATTTACATATGAAAAGCACATGTTCAATCTTTGCTCTCGGTGTTATAGCTGGCTATGATGAACGGTGAACGAATAATGGTGATGGTGGCGGTGCATGTACAGTTGTACAACCTGAACACATACAAAACCATATCGAAGCACAACACAAGCTCAAACATTTTCAACTTTGAACATTTTAGCCATCATTTTCCTCTTCAATGTTCTGTATAATCATATGCATTAGCATTGTCTATGTGCAACACAGTGGAGTGCACATCCAGCTCCGCACGACTCAACCATCAATGTTGTTTTTGCATTCGCATTGTCATCGTTATTATTGTTGCTGCTGTAGTCGGAATATAATACACAATTGATGTTATGCATATGTAACTTTAAAACCAAACTCTTCCGTTACACACAGAGAGAGATAGAGAGATAGCTAGCTCTCTAATAAAGTAGAAGCAATGTTCATTGCATACAATCATTCTTTTATATTTGCACACCGTTTTTAAAAAATTCATCGAAATGAAAAACTAAAAATACCTTTGCATATTGGAATACAAAAAAAAAAAAAATCAAACAAACACTGTGGCAGTACGCTCAATTTGGTGAAGCGAAATGGCATATTCGATTTTTGCAACACTGTTATCCTCTGCCTCGATCAAAACGGATTGCCGTGCTTTTCAGCATTATATCTCGCATTCAAAGTATCTCTGTATATTTCATGCGATTAACCTCGTTCAAAAGTTTTGTTTTTCATTTACTCGCTGCAAGTGTGTGTGGGTGTGTGTGCAATACACGTGAGAAAGACAAAAAAAACCACTAACGAACGATACAAACACATGCACACCTCACTATTTTTGGTTTTATATTTTTTTTCTGCCTTCTATCATTGCTGAAACCACTACCTCAATTCTCCAAATGAAGTAAGAGGTAATTGACATTTCCATTATAAAGCTTTTATGTGTCGTCTATGCTTGTGTGTGCTGGTCTGTACAGATTGGTATGTGTGTCGGCGACGATGTGTAAATGTAGCTGTGTAAATCTCATCGGATAGACAGAGAGTGAGCGAGCAAGTGAGTGTTTATTTATTCGACGGATGTGCACAGCCATTTACGTATTATACTATATGTCTCTGTTTTCATATGACCAATTCGAATGCAAACCCGAATTTTGCAATTTGAAAAATTCATAAAGTTTATTCGAATTTAAAGTGGAAGGTTTAATCAATCAAATTGTAAAAAAAAGCGAAGAGAAAGGAGCATAACGGTGCAAATGCCAGTTGTTGTTGTACACAAAGTGTGCTCCATCGTTCCGTCAGCAAATCGTAAATTTTTTATAAAATCCAAAGACGAGAATAATGCCCCGGCAAGACAACTACAACAATATTTACTCAACAGCTTCGGCAATGGAAATTCCTTCGGCGACAGCGGCGCAACAATAACAACGACGACGACATCGCAATCTATTTTAACATTTTCCACCTCGATTTTGAATGGTTCAAAATAGCAAACAAATAACAAAAGCAAAGACGAAAAGATCCATTCTTCGGCTAATCTATTAAAAATGTCAGAAATGTCGAAAGTTTTTTTTCTCTCCTACACAAGTCTAAAATGTCCGCAGTTTAAATTCAGTAGCGAAGGAAACGAGAAAATATCGATTGTTCGCTTGCTCCACAGTTTTCTTTCACACCAAATTATTTCGATCAGTTTTTAATTTGTAATTTGATGTCTCTATTTTCAGGGAATTTTGTTGTGTGTTTTTTCCACAATTGCATCACAAGAACGGCACACAAGAGAACACCAACATCATTATCAGCAACATAGAGAGCATCAGCATCAGCATCAACATCATCGACATCACAACGTACACAAGCAACAGCAGCAACAACAACAACAACAAAACCTAATTAACCCAGAAAATGTGCATAGTAATAAAACATTTGGCGGCCATGCTTGGCTTTCACATCCAGACGCCACTGAAAATGAGTTAGAGAAACGTGGTAAAAATGGATGGGGTCCATGGGCGGCATATAGTAGCTGCTCAAGGAGTTGTGACGGTGGTATTCAACAGCAAATTCGTCGCTGCCACTCAACTCATTGTCGTGGTGAACCGATCCGCTACAGAATATGTAATATGCAGGTAAACATAATTTTCACGTAAATTACCACACAAAAAACGAAATATTAAGACGCTTTGTATTTTAAATGACCACTAATCTAAATCAAAAGACATACTGCCAACACGATATGATTTTTGAACCGTGTTCGGGGCGAAATTTATGTTGTTCGTATCGTGGTTTATATTTGTAAGTGATTTGTAAGTGTCACAAATTACTTACCACAAATCAACGCACAAAGACAAGAATACAATCCTCGAAGTGGAAAGTATTATGTTGTTTTTGTAATATTCAATTCGTTTTTTTTTCTCACTGCAACATTTCTTTTTAGTTGGAACAGGATGCTCTTTATGGTTTTAAGCCATTGAAAAAGTTTTTCGGGCACACAAATTCGCAAACAAACAAAAATAAAGAGCACGAGTTTACTAATAGTTTGAGCAAAACAACGGTCTTATAGTAAATGCTAGAAGTAGGCATCAAAAAAAAAAGTTTTACTTCCATTTTTCGCTTTTCGCCTTGATGAAAGACGTTTTAAGCATTGAAAATGATTTTTTCAAGTTGTATGCAGCATACAAAATATACTAAAAATAACAATAAACAACTGGACAAATTAATAAATCAATTGGGAATAAAGATTCTTTTTATTGAAATTCACATTATGCTGGTAAACACTCTTGTCGTTTCATAAATATTGTTGGAAATTTTAACGAAATTGAATGGAGAAAAAAGCGAAGCACAAACGACAAAGATCGATTGACTGAAAGCGACACATACACATTGAAGCAATGATGAAGAATGAAATGGCATAAAGCCAAGTGTACACTTGCACAAGGACGAGTGCGACGTGAGTGCTTACTATGCAGAAAAAGTTTTCGCAAATATTTTGCTAAATCAAAAATTTCAATGAGTTCTCAAAATCAGATGTGTGCGTGCATGAGTGTGTGTGTGTTTATTTGTTCTTCTCACTGCTTGCAACTTTCAATGTTTGGTAAAGCCAACCATTTTTGAATGTCTTAATGGCATTCATTTAAGTCAATTGTAGATGCTTTGATTGCACTGAAACTCAAACAAGTGCACACTGATGTATACCGAATAAAACAAACACACTAGAACTTTTGGACCATACACCAATTGGCAATTGAAAATATCAGAAAGTGTATCGATTCGACATATCGTCGTTACAAACTATATACCATCAATTACTTATTACAATTTTGATTTTATTTACGATATGTTGTGTGTAAAAACTTCTCGAAAATATTGAAAGTGCCTCCGTCAGAATGTTTGTTATAGTCTTAAATTTCACATTTTCCAATGGTATCCGAGAGCTGAGAAGTGTGCACAAGCCGTACAAAAACAACATGCAGTTATGGATGGTATTTCAAGCGCAACCGGAAAACCTTCTTTCGGTGCGAATATTTCCATCATTTGTTTTAATGGTGAAAATAGTGCTGATACGGTTTGTGTGTATGTGTGTGCTTTTAGTTTGCCAGAGTCTATTGTAATAAGAACAAGTGCATGTTTGTGTATGTGTAGCAAACGTTTACAGTTGGTACCCACACCGGCGATGCAAAAACGATTTGCACATATTCAACGATACCGTATAATCTGATGATTGAAACCATTTGGTGTAGAAACTTTTGGTGCAATCTACCGCAATCCGATACGGTGAAATTTTTAAGTATGTGATAAAAACGAAAAATAAACTCTCCAATATTTATCTGCTCGAAACGATTAAGGGATAATCGGTAGAAGTGTGTATTCACACGATGGAAAACATGTATGGCACCAAGGCCAATCCCATATCGTGCCATATTTTTACCACCCAAAATTACTTTTTATGAAATTTTCAACTTTTTATTCTAACTGAAACAAGTATAAGAGCATCCCTGATAGAGAGTGAGAGACAGAGAGAGAGAGAGAGAGAAAGAGAAAAAAATCAACTAGCGATTTATCAGTATTTTATCTCTATGACTGTTCACCAAACCACAGTCGAGCACTTAAACGACATTCGGTATTTTGTACACGTACTTCGACTGCTGGTTAGCAAGTCGTTTTCTTCTAACCAAAGAGTCACACCAATAACTTTGTATTCGATCGTTTGCAACAAATTCGAAATGATTCGCATTCGCTTAAAACATGAAACGACCATCGACTGACAATGTTGCAAGGCGAATAAAACGACTGAAATAGAAGAATAACGGATGCGCTGCATTTTAAAAGTGTCGCTTAAAAATCTAGTTAAATAGCTTTGTTCGATTAATCTTCCAAGGTGGTTTCAAGGTAAAATCGCGTTTTGTCAGAGCTTTTTTTGTCGCCGATGTGGTATTTTTTGTCATTACAATTATTAGAAATGTAAATAAAATCGCTGCCAGCACTAAGCGATACGTTTAATATTAGTGTCAGCATACTTTTTTTTCTCAACATTCATTTTTTGGTCTGCCCTTCATTTTAGTCGAATTCTAACGGTTTTATTATTACATGGATTCTATGTGGATTTTTATACTGTTAAACTGAATGCAAAAAAAAGATTCCTTTATCATTCTTCTTTCGTTTTATTTTTCAGCCATGCCCCGAAGCACAGGATTTTCGAGCTCATCAGTGTGCGGCATTTGATGAAACACCATACGATGGTAGTCTCTTTAAATGGACACCACATTACATCGAGTCAGAGCCATGCGCGCTGACTTGTAGGTAAGTAAACTCTTCGTTTCTAAACTATCTCTCTTCGTTTTACATATTTATATTTTTTTCTACCTTTAAACCTAACATTATAACCGAATGCAAATAGAACGCAGAAATGTGACATGTATTTTATCATATCAAATTACATCGCTCCAACGATTCATAGTTAAAAGATGGAGAAAATGTAAAATGCTATTCGCATTATCCCTGTTTTATTTTCAACTGGAACTAGACTTGCCATCCAACTTAAGCGAATAAATATTCATATGAAAATGAGCGCAGAGGCAACAGAAAATCGTTCTTCTTTTGCATACAGATTTGCACGCAAAATGTGAATGTTTTTTTTCTTTTATTTTTTTTTATTTTGATGAATTGAGTAGTATCTCCAAGGCATATTTTAATGAGTTTGCATTGATATGTTTTTCGAGACGATTTTCAGAATGCTTTGCCATTTCTAGTCCGCTGAGATTTCTCGACGTTTCGTCCATTTTCTTAAATTCCATTTGGGCCTCATGAATATTACACACATTGTCCTGTGTACCCGCTCAGTTTGACATAAATTTAGTCAATTTCAAAATACTCAACGTCGCCGACCAAGCAATAGAACTCAAATAAATATTAAAAACATGTTATCAAATCTAAGTCTTGCAATCGAAATGCGTTGTACATTATTAAATTTTCCAATTAAATTTTAAGGCCCGTTGAGAAGAACATTAAATATCTTTACGAAAAATGAAATAAAACAAAACGAAAATCACTTATTTCATGGCCACAACAAACGCACGCAAGCTACTTGTGTACATGTATTGTTTTTTTCGGATTTTCTTAAGCGAATAAGTACGCATACGTTTAACTTTCAGGGGGGTTTCCACGTCTTCCAAATTATTGAACAATGATGCCGGAAAAACATTTAAATTTTATATGTAGCATGAAATTCTCCATCTGCATTGCTGGCTGCTGCAAATTGCCTATGATGCTTGAACGATTACCGGCAAGAATTCACTTCAGTTCATTTCGAATGCAATGCGATGCGTGCCAATAATACCGATATTCCGATTTGAATTCTCCATAAACAGACACACACCTTTGCCTCTAAACAAGTTTCCATGAATATATACAGAGATATGTTGCATAAATGAAGAGAAAAGCTTTCTTCCCTCTCAATTTAGCTGCTCAATAAGTAGAATATTTCGATTGGCTCTTGAAAATTCCACATTTTCTGGTTATATATATTTAGAAAATTCACAAACTTCCAAAGATATATTTATCTCTCAATTATGTGAGGTCATGATGAACATAAATAAAGCATCTCAATCGTGGCACTATAAATTCAACGAGATGCTTTTTTTGCCCCCATTGTGAAATATTTGAAAATTTAAATTATTTATTCAAGGCCCGTGTCGATGTATTCGTATTGGACACAAAGAGAGCGGGGGTTGAAGCGGTACAATCGTTCCTAAAATGCTTTAAGCCTTTAGAACAAAACCGATCGGAAATAAACATATTCATGAATGCGCAAACCAAAACGCATAAAGTCTATGGCCCATATTCGAGACAATGCCGAAAAAGAGAATGATACAGAGAAGGAGAATAGGTATAATCGTATTGTATTCGGTTAACCAAACTGCATGTATGTATGGTGTGTGTATGTGTGTGTCTGATGTGCACGTGTACACGTGTGGGTGTTTTGTTATATAAATGCGATCGTATGTATTTATGAATACAAAATGATTGGGGCTTTTGTTTTCGAGAAGAATTGAGACATTCAATGTGGAATTGTTTTTGAAAATAATAAGGAAAATAAACCACAAATTGATGCATTAAACCACAACGGCCATTGTTGTTTTGTGCGTTTTTGTAATGCAAAATGTTTGGCCAGATCGTTCAATGGCATTTATATTTTCTCGTTTATGTTCAATTCCGACAAAATATCAAGATTTTAACCGAAGTTGAACGTCTCAAAATGAATGAAATTCATTTGTTTTCAACTTTATGCTATTGGATATCGATGGTGAATTTGGACATTTTCTAGTTATTTCAGTCAGCCATTTATTGGAAATTATGAAATGATGTTTACACAACATTTTTAACCACTTGATAATAAGTTTGCTATTGAAAGTACACGAATGCATTCTAATTGCTTCATTTTTAACAATAACAATTGAAACAAATCTCATTCTATTTTCAGAGGTAAACCAGTGAATTTGGCAAGTAATGGAGAAAGCGAAACAGATATTGCAACCGAAATCGATCAGGAGCCGAGTGTTATTGTTCAACTGAGTAGTCGAGTGAATGATGGCACGAGATGCCGGATAGGAAGTCTTGACATGTGCATAAATGGTCGTTGCATGGTAAGTTTTACTTATTTTTAGAATTTTAGTGTATGTGCAGTAAGTAATATTACATTCTCTTGCCATTTTTATTATTTAAAACGGCAGTTATGTGATGAAATTGTTTAAATTACAAATGGCAAGTGGTAATTTCGCTTTGCTCGTTGACTTCAAACGGCGTAATCCACAATTACGCTAGTCATAACAATGGAGACGAATGAATGTCGATCCACAACCCATATTCACAGATCCACACAGACACAACACATATTCGATTGAATGTCAGCTGTAATCTCTATCGACTCCATAAACAAATCATCATTATCCATACAAAATGCATGGCTGTTGATTTAACTCAATGCACACATATATTTTCGTTTATTTTATACACACAGTGTTGGTCCCTTTTTTGCACATAATAAGCGCCGTACGCCACACACTCATTTTGCATTCACTCAGCTATCTTTCCGATAATAATTTAATTAGCGAATAAAATATGTATCATTAAGTGGAATTATTCATTCAATAAACAAATCCTCGTAAAACATAAACTGCGTACAGTCATTGCTTTTGGCGGTGTTCACATACAAAATCCGTGTGCCATATAACATTTCATATACGATACCATAATATAAAGCTATTTGCAATATTTTGTCTCAGAACGTTTAAATGTTCGTCGTTCGAGCTGTTTGTTGCTCGCGCCGGGCGGAAAATTGAAAATTCTGAGCGAGAATGTAAAAGAGAGATTTTAATGCATGCAGTTATTAATCCATTAAACACTTATATCGTTCGAGTTAGTAACGTGTATATATACTGCGATAGTAGATACATAAATAGAGCACACAAGTGGAAAGTGTTGGCGCTCGGGCAGTTATACTTCGAACAGTGAGGGCAATTCATTAAATTATGTACAAAGTGGTTTTTCTCCAAAGTTTAATGTGCTAATGAATGGAAATATGGGCATTCCGCGTAGCAAAAATAGTGTTTTAGTGCTACGTACCGCACGCCATATATATAGATCATGGTCTAAAGCCATTGGAAATCTTACGATTTTCATCTCAAAGATGAGAAGAAAAAACGAGTATACATATATAATAAAAAGATGAGTGGGTGCGGTCGCGTTGCTAACTTCGAACTTTTGTTCAATCCAATTCACACACAGTAAATCCGCATGGAACACAAAGAAGCCAAATTAAGTAATCAGACGTTCAAAACGATTCGCCAGACAGTCGCGCGCTATATTTTGTCTGTGTGTATGTGTGTGTGTGTGCACGAGAAAGAGAGAGAGAGAGTTTGTACATTTGCTATGCAGCCAAATATCTTTAAAAAGTTACCATAAATGTTAAGTATGTTTGTTGAACACATGCATAAAACAGCACGAAAAAGCTGCACCATAAATTCTATGGTATATAAGTTATTAAGCTGCGAACGAAATGATCGCATCCAAATACATACAGTGGTGTTGAGCTTTTATGCATGTAAACGATTTCGAAGTGAATGCGCGCACAGCACAATAAAAAAAATGAAGCACGAATCCATATTAAACAGAATAAATGAGACATACTCCTGTCGTGTTTATTCTATTACTTGCAAAATACCAAAATGGCTAATGAAATTTATCAATAAATTCGTTTGTAATCCACTTAATTTTAACTAAGCGCCCGTCTGAATGAGAGAATTTACTGATTAAATATTGGAATGAATGACGACCAGAATCAATCGGAACGTATCGAAAGTCGAATGTGTTGTCAACACGGACGATGAAACACGACATTTGGCCAACATTTTGAGTTCATAACATTGCATTGCATTCACATATTGAATTGGATCAATAGCCCTAGCATATTTGTATGTTTTTATTTGGCCATTGCGTACAATCATTTTAATTCGATCACTGAGCTTGAGAGAGATTAATAAAATTTTACAATGGACTATATTCCGGACTTTATGTATCGTATGTGCTTTAATTGGAATTTTATTGCTTTACGATGCGCAAAATTCAAATCTGAAACACACACACACACACGCTCATGTGTTTGTCCTCATTTTACGGTACATACATCGACAATGACAGAATGTGGAGCGAATGCATTGCATTAGATGCTGCGAATAGAACAAACTAGATGCCATATTGCATTGACATTAAAAATTTTAATCGTTGTTTTGCGAATGTATTTATGGCTGTGAATAAACAAACTCTATTTCCTTCCCTTCCGGGCATACATTGGGCTTGTATACAATCGAAAAGTTCCGGAGACAAATTCAGCATGTAGTGTGCAACTTTGTTTTATGTTCGAGTTAATACATCATTTTAGTCGCTTGAACAAGAACATACAGCAACAACAACAACAACAACATCATCAACAAAAATTACAACGTACATGTCGAAAAACGCTGTGAAGCTGATAGACATGCGAAACTATTACGTGTAACGCGTACATTAATACATTCGTTTGCGTCTACATTTTCAGCTGAACAATAGCTGCAACAGCAATAACAACCAAAAAATAATCTTTCAAATATAATAATAAGAAAAGTTAAATTACTTTGATTCTGTATTATGAAAAAGTTTTGCACATGTTATTACATGACATTTGTGTGTGTGTGTCGATGTGCTTTTGCCATTCACATTGGTTGCTCATCGAAATATGCAATGCTTTTAAATGCGTCTACGTTGAGTTAGTCTATAGCTAATGCCAATGGATGGATTTTGGTGCTCGGTTTTTGTTTTACATTTTGTTACACTCACAACTCCAAAATCTCGCGCAAACTTTTTTTCTCGTGCTCTATACATTCGCATTTAATCGGAAAAGAGCAGCTCCGGTGAGATATAGTCAAAAGCCGTGCCAACGTTATATTATGTGTTAAAGAAGAAAGAATATAAAAAAATGAATACGTGCCAAAAATAATAATAAATTTAATCATAATAAAGTGTATAAGCAGATTATAACTTATAGCATCATCCGTATCACATGAATACTCGACGTGTGAAATTGAATACGAACACGGCCGCAAAATATATTGAGTGTTTGTCGAATTCAGATATTTATCTTATAACAAAATCTAATGCACCACGTCAAACTATCTAGACGCATATGAATTCGAACGCATCAAATTTCTTCTTGTCTGCTGAAGAGATTAACTGGATGAAATAACATCAAAAGCACAAGACTTATCTTCTGGGAAACAAATTCATTGAAATTACAAAAATCATTCATTTGATATATAAATAAGCAGGGTATTCATTACGCGTGCTTGGCAGTGCATTGAATTTGAGTCAATCATGAATGATGAATAAATGCTGTTTTCAGGTTGAAAAAAAAAATGATTGTGAACAAAAAGCAACGATTGCGTCAGCGAATGAATTGAGCTAATTATATGCTATCGTATTTCTGTTCAAAAGCTACACAAATCAATCTGAATTTGTGAAAGGTGAAAAGAAGCACACACACACATTACACAATGTAAAATAAATCCTCCTTCCCCCGATTATCGGTAAAACGTGCAAAATGCCAATGCCATCAATTACTTTTTCAAATATTCCAATTGACGAACAGCTACGGAACTACAATGAAACGTGCGTCGGACACAATCAATATACTAGATGCACACAAACACAAAGCAACAAAAAGCCATGCAAATTTAAATTGTAAATCATGCTTATGGTATTACAAATGGGGAATAAAGGTTTTTCGAGAAAGCGGAAAGTTTTTTCGCTTCCATTGAGTCACATTGGAGCGAAAAGGAATTATTGTTCTTGAATAGCTTCAAAATTAGATTCTCAATACATTTTTTTTTCTCTGTGCATCTTTTTGTTGGTCTTCCTTTTCGTTCGCTGTTCTCACTCTGTCTCTCCGGAACATTTGCAAAGTGAACGAGCAATGAAAAAGTACGCCACAACCAACACACAAAAAAAAGTTTCAAAAACTCAAAACTTTCCTTAATATCGACCGGAAAAGTAATGAAAAGAGTGTCGAATTTGAGATTTCCATTTGGTATTCGGCGGACAAGAATATAGTTTGTTTTGCAACATCAGGCGAACCCACCGCACCATTCTCATGCACATCGATTTCATTTCATTGATTCTCTTCACTAAACCGTGAATAAAATACGCTTTTCCAAATTTGTCGTGTCGCCTGGAATGTGAAATGCCGTTTTAGCCGATTTCGTCCATTATTTTCCGGTTTTAAAAGTTGCAACACACAAAATAGAACAAATCCACTCAAGAGAAGAAGAAAAAAAAAACATTGTGGAAACGTTGCAGTGGTGTGGAAGAAATGAAGAGAGAAGAACTGAACGAGTGTGATGCACAGTAGAAAAGGTGAAAATAAAATTTCAGTTGAATACACACATAAAACCAATTGACAAATAAAAACGAGCAACGCCGAACTTTTTACTTGTGTTCGAATGGCACGGAATGCTAATGGTTGCATGGTCACACTCATACTCGTACACCTACACATTTGAATCGTTTCCACGCCAAAAGAAAAATGTGACTAAGTTTACCAAGTAATCTACTAAGATTTCAAACCACACCGCACCGTATCGCAACATGAATCTTTACAATCGCACTGGGAATTCAAGAACAAGAGCCAAAGATACTTAACAATCTGGAAACAACTATTTCAATAGTTTTTCAATGTATGACTGTACATATAGAAATGAATATAATGGCCGTTTTGCTAACGATATCGCCTTCAGACGAACAGTGCAAATTTTGGGGGATCGGATTGACTGGAAAAAAATTCTTAACTAATTCACCCAATTACGTATCACTGTGGTCAACTAGCAGTGTCTGATGCACTACATTATGAGTCTTCACATCGTCAGCTACTTGTGTACGTCGTAATTGTCTTTTAATTTTCAAATTTTATTTCACAACAAAATGGCACAATCCTTTAAGATGGGTGTCAATTGGTGCTTTTCAAACCAACCAACAAGAAAATATTCCAGGCAAAATATTCTCACAACAAATGAAGTGAACGGGTAATTGACACACCATAAGAGGTATTTTCTTTATCACACATGAGATAAGCCGAATTCCAAGCTGAATTCCCACTTTCTCGCATTCTCTTCAAACTTTATGTTAAGTAGAAAACTCACCGAACTTATATGATCTTATCTCGGTATATTCATATGGCTCATTTGTCGAAACGAATCGGGCGTGAGATGAAACGATTCAGGTATAATTCGTATCCAACGTGACCATCAAAACTACGGTATACTCTCTTGAGATTCAGATTCCGCAGTCATAGCAATTCGAATAAAATTTGGAATGACATTTTCAAACGCAAACCGAAAAACAAATCTTAAAACTTTGTCTCCGCTCGAATTTGTGTGTGATCAATTCGAGTCTGATGTTGGGATTTGATTAATTACATTTTCTTATGTTATATGTCTATTAAACAAACTCAATTAAATGAATTTATTGAACGCCAATTCAGTTACACTTACATATATGAAGAATGGTGTGTGCTTTTTTTCAACTTCAATATGAACATGAATCAGATGAAATAAGATTGAATTTTATTGGATATAAATCGTCGAATGCCTCGAACTTTTCTTCTCATGTTTTAATGTTTTTCACCACGCCACCCATTCTCACTATATGACGCACACGTGCCCGCACGTTATATTGTACAATGATTGTTGAAAACTTACACAAAAATAAATAATAAATTTACTTTTTTTTCGCTTGTGCTTTTGTTTCGTTTCGTCAACATTAATTTGTGGACATTTCGTCTGTTGGCTGGCTGGAAAAAGTTTTGCGATATTCAATTAATCAACTTTCATAGTAATTTTTTTGTTGTTGTTGTTCGACGGTTGTCACACAAAATGTACAAGTTGAGATTGAAATTATTGACGACGAGACAGTGAATACACTGAAAACTGATGACTTGCAGTCAAATATGTCAATATAGTTTATTGATTCAAATTGGCTTCTGATTAATGGAGTAAAATTCATGTGACATAAATTCGGAGCATACTCTTCTCGCGTTGGCCGCAGTTAACATTATGTGAAGCATGTCTTTTAATATTTTAGAATTTTGGAATAACGAAACAACAAATGCTATGATTCTATTAAAAAAGTATCAACCTTATAAAATTTTCTTTGTTCGCTCTTTTTCAGCGTGTTGGATGTGATTTACGAATTGGTTCATCGAAAAAAGTGGATGCATGTGGTGTTTGCGGTGGCAATGGATCGACATGCTCACAACCAATGTATCAATGGGACATGGCTCCAATGTCTTTATGCTCAGCGACATGCGGCGGTGGTGAGTGTTATTTAAATACATATACTTTATGGGACTTTGAATACGCGATTCGAATTTTAAAAACGAGATCTCTGGCCACTACACCTCTCGTAACGGCAACTTGAAGAAAATTCAACCACACACAAAATACGGTGGTAAACTGTGTATTCAATCGTGTAATATGCATTACATTAAATTCAAGTGATGTTCAATGACCGAAGAAAAAATGCTGGTCTATAAAAAAATTCACCGCTCGTAAAATGCTTGATGCGCATGAAATTGAATGAATAACTGACCTGAGCGGAGATTCACAGGATGGGTCAAAATGTAAACTAAATAATGTATAAGAATTGTATTTCTTTTCCTTTTTTTCGTAATCAAAAGTCAATACGACACAAAAAAAACGTATGCCATTGTAATTTTTCAAGGATTCGGAAAATCTTTTTATCGATACACATTCATTAAAGCAATGGGGTTTTATTGAGTTAAAATCGGTGTTCGTTTTTCTGTCATCGCATCCATTTGAGTTTGAACATTGACAATTCAGTCATTGCGATAAAATATTTTACAACATTAAAAAGTCGATTGAAGGCAATCGTTTGGCTGTACAATGCATACGAGTGTATAACGAACAGCCGTGATAAACGGAAAACATTTTGTAGCATTCGGTTCCTGTAACATATCAATTTATCATTTATTTGTTATGTATACAAACTTGTCAAATATAATCTCATGAAAATTTATTGTGTGTTTAAGAGGAAACAAGAACAAAAACGCGTAAAGCCATACATATCAACGCCCGAAAGAGACGTACAAGAAAAATCATAGCCGAACACAAGGCAAAAACAAATACAAATTCATGAGATTTTGTGGTGTATTTCATTTGCATAAAAGATTGTCGCAAAGTTAAACGGTAAAAATACATCCAGATCGACAACGACGATGAAGAAGAAAAAAAAACCGCACAAGAAACAAATGTAAATATTAAAACAGGGCAAAAAGTATTGTTAACTTTTTCCTTGGCTTACTTCTCGATGCTGATCTTTTTTCCCCTTGTAAATCTTAATTCTTCGTTGTTGCTATAAAAAAAAAGTACACAAACTCACTCGTGGCAACGGTCGCTCATAAACAATGTTGTGATTCGGTCGGCATAGGCTCATTCAGTTTGTATACAGTCGTTTGAACATTCGAACGAAAGGAAACAACCGAAGCCGACCGAATGCTTTTTCTCGTTCTGCTTTTTTTCTTGTGTTTAACGTGAATGTAAACAAACGACGTAACGCTTTTGTATCTGCTTGTTGTTTTTGACGCTATCAGTGTATAGACCATAGTCGTGAACATGGCTATGTTGCCAAAAGTACATCACTGAATGCGGCTGGTATTCATCGCCTGTGTTTGCAGCCACGAAATCAAACCTTCAATGCTGCTGTTATCTTCTCTCTCTTTCCCACTCTATCTTTCTCTTTATCCATCTGTATTGTGTCTGTTTTTCTTGAGCTGTGAGAGCACTGTCGTGCACTTGGCGAAAGCATTCTTTGTGCCAAACAAAGAAACGAAAAGATAAAAAACCGAAAAGCTTATTTTCAATCTTGAATACTTGACGAAACAAAAACAAGAGTGTATACTCGTCTCGCATGCAAAGCAGTGACACTGATATTAGTACGAGTGGCATCAACTCCTAATAACAAAAGCAACAACATCTCTCAGCCAATGAAAAGCGGAACAATAGCGAAATATCTTTAAGCATGTTTGAGTAATTTTTCGCCAAAGGGAAATGTAAGAGATCAGAAGGAGAGAGAGAGAGGGAGGGAGAGCGCATAAATGAATGGAAAAAGGAATAAAAACAGGAGCAAGCACCTTGATAGAGATAGAAACACGCAAGTGAATCATCACGACAATACGCGAAAATGATAGTAATCGATTATGCGAGTTAGCACACACGAACACCGAAGTATAAAATAAAACAGAGAAGAAAAATATACAACCGTCAAACCAACCAAAAAAAAAAAGAAAACAAATGCATGATGACATAAAAAAAACCAGCCAATACATATTCATTGTCATTTACCTCGACTGGTGCGGGTGCTTCACCGATGAAAAGGCGACAAGGACTAAGTTGTTTGATCGAAAATGTTTAAACGACATTTGAATATAAATCATGGGATTATTACTTAGTGGCGCTTCGCACATACACATTCACACAATTTTCGTCGCTATGCTGCGTTTTTTGTTTCTATCTTTTCGTGCACTTTTCCACCTCAATGCGAACGCATATATATATACAATAGCGAACCGTGAGCGAAAAACTTCACAAGAGACAAAACTGATGGGTACTGAAAAACTGAAGCACATGCATATTGGCTCCACATAAAACAGTATTTATGAGTCCTTTCCATATATAATATGTATAGATTATCATTGTATACGAACAGAAAAAATAAGTTTGACTATAATTTTTTACATCCAAATTGCTTATATCACATTAACTGTATATGCAAATATACTTGAGTGTGCCAATACCTTTTAAAGTAAAGCAATATATATATATATTTTGTTCTTTTTGTCGTGCGCTTGTCGTCACCGCCATAACATATTTCGATAATATCATAAAGTATAAACCGAAAATGCTGAATGTTGCCGAAGGCACACCAGGCCCAATTCGCTCATGTTCAAAGTATTTGATATGCTTGTTGAGCTATTCCATCATATGTTTGCCTGTTTAGTGTTTACACATATAGACCTATTCGGAGCTCGAAGTCAGCGAACCGTTATGGCTGGTTATGGCGTTCCACTCGAAACCAAAGGCGTAAAATGAATCGATCAAAAGCATAACTTGTAATTAGCATATTATGATATGCATACAAAATATCGAATTGTCAATTTATTCATATGCATATTAGACAGATTTACTCGATTGTATTTGGATAGTAAAGTTAATTTTAGGCAAGTTTCATGCTATAATCCAAACAATATAACCTAATAAAATGCAAGGTGGTTTTTGGAAATATTATTTCCTTTGACCTAACAAATCTATGAAGATTTAAAAAAAACTTTTGATGATAACTTTAAGTTCAAACAATTATAATTTACTTCTTTCTCTCAATAATGATATGTAGTCGTGTATTTAAATTGGTCACAGAAAGTTTTGTATTACCCTGTTCATTTCAAAACTGAAACGTATATTTACACTCGAAGTAAATTCTGAAGTCAGACCGAGCATATTCCTGTACAAGCATTCAACGTACATCCGAATCATTTTCATGACATTCGGATTTGAATCTGGTGCGCGAACAATCCCCAATTCCTGTTCTGGCAATGTTCATTAACAGACAATCAATTCATGTCAATGGTTATCCATTTTGATAATGTCTCGCCTCCTCCAAAGATACTATTGCCATTTATCATTACATTCAAGATACTTGAACTGCTTTCGGTTTTCGGGCAAACCGCAATCGACATTAAATGACAATTGCTTTGGCATTCGGTGCTGAATTTATTAAAATGCCATTAGGATAACTGTAATGTTTACGTATTCATCAATTGAGGGGCTGCTTCGATTTTATTATGGTAATGACGTGATTTAGATGTATTTAGCTCAATGCCATTACGATGTCCAAATGTTAAATGTATCGATTGGATTTTGAATTAAAAATTTACATCGGTGTGCGTATCGTTTGCGTTTGAAATCCAAAATCCATTTTCACTTTCCATTAAGCGTGTGGCCAGAAGAGCAATTTCCAAATTAATTCTCTTCTTGTTGTTATTATTCGTTCGTTTCTCGAGTGTTTTCTACAAATTTCAATGTTAAAATTGATTGCATAAAAACGATTTCTCTTCATTTCCAGGATATAAGATGTCTCGGCCGTTGTGCAGAAACCGGATGACAAGTCAAGAAGTTGAAGAATCACTGTGTAACTCCGCCATGCGTCCCGAACCGGCTGTGGTACAGTGCAACACGCACAGTTGTCCACCAAAGTAAGACAAATACTCACTTAATTAATTTCGATTACAATCACATTTATTTGCATTTAATGTAATTATGGTGAAAATTGTTTGCAATTTTTCGAAACTGGACACTTTAATGATTCACTTAAATGTGTGCGGCGTGTAGATGATCGTCATACTCGTACCATGCATCATCCACATTCGTTTGCTTCTGTGATTCTGATGCGTTTGTTGAACCATTTATTTGTGATTTTATTTGTGTGAAAGCGAAAAACGTGAGCAAATGCAATAGCATTGAATAGAGGAGTTGATGGTGTATTTGTGTTTAGCAAATAATATTTATTTCGTTTTGTTTTTTTTTTCTCCTGATGTCCGTTTGTGCTGGTGATTTAAGTCAAGTTTTGGTCTCATTTAATAAAAATTTATAGACAATTCAGTAGATGGCTGTGCCAGCGACCATCTGTCCGTATTAAAATAAATAGTCAAGACAAACAAACAGAAGTTAAGCATTGAAGATGTGATGAGCAATAGAACGAAAAGGATCATGTATGCCATCGTTATTCAGAGAAAATGAGAAAATTGTAGACGTTATCTTCGCTTTTCTTTGAGATCACTGTTCGCAAAGGAAGTTGAATCAAACGAAATCTACGCACACTATGAACTATGGACGCAAAAGCATACTAGACATTTGAATTTATGTATTTTCCGTCCGACGAAACGTGCAAAAGCGAACAAAAAAAAGAAGAAAAAAATGAAAAACACAAAACGCAAGCAAACACCAACGAATTGAATATAAAAAGGCTTTTACTTGAAAAACTAACAAAATCTAAACTAAATTTATAGGTGGATAACAGATGAATGGAGCTCATGCTCGAAAACATGCGGCCGTGGAACGAAAGAACGAAACGTTGTATGCATCGAAGAAAGCAATGGCCTCAAAAACAAAGTACGTATAAAAGTGTGTGTACAACTGAATTGATGATATGCACTGTGCATTGCTTTCGTCCGCTCTCTCGCTTTGTGCGACCTGCTGCAACAGCTTCGCCAAAAGCGAGCAAGCGAGCGAATGTTTGCCGAAGTGTGTGCGCAAATAATAGCAGAAAAAAAAATATATGACAAAATAAATCGAAAGATATCAGAGTATAGAGGGAATGAATACAAAAGGGAGAAAAAAGATGAAATCGGAACATGAAGATGACGAATAAATAAATATAAACAGAGAAAACTACGCTTGTGCGCGCGGAAAATTCAAAAGTAACAATGAGCCAAAGATGACACAAGAATATACGGCGATTTGTTGTCGTCTGTTATTGTTTGCTTCGGGGGTTGTATCTCTCTCTGTGTGCCTTTATGCTTCCATCCTTGTATTCTCAATCCAATTCTCTCAATGACTTTCGAACTATTGCAGAAGAAGTGGCAAAAGAAAAGACAAAACAAAAACATAAAGCGTATAAATATTGTATAAATAAAATAGAAAGCTAAATAAATTTCGTTCTTTTTTTATTCATTTTCATTTCTTCACTGCTGTTTTTTTGTCTCTTCACTCAACTGTTTTGGCGTTGCCCTGCCGCCGGTTGTGCTTGCCATCATTCGTTCACATGCAAAACTATCTATCTTTGTGTGCATTGTGCCTGCGTTGACATTGATGACAAAACAACGCATCTACTCTCACCAATCCAACAACAACGCCGGATCTGACGCGAATACAGTTACCAGATGATGCTTGTCGTGACACATCCAAACCACCAACATTTGAACCATGCAACATACAATTCTGCCCCAAGTGGATTACTCGTGAATGGTCTGGCGTAAGTGTTTTGTTTCTGCAATTTCATCTTCAGTCCCTTTTCACTCTCTCACATAACCATAGATAGAAGAGTAGTTAGCAGTAGTTTGCATAAGCGATATTTGTGAGTGTGTGTATGTATTTTCACGTATTACTTTGCCACTTTACTTGAGCTACTAAAACTGAACTAACAACAAATTTACTTTGCAATGGTGAACACAAAAAAAGCAACAACATTATATTTCGAATATATAGTGCCCGTCATGATACTCGTCATAGACGTGCGACACACAACATACGGAACAATATACAGATCGCGAGACGGGAAAAAAACTAAACCATAAGAGATAACACAACTGATACATTTGATACATATAATAGAATTTTGTTTAAAACATCAATCCACATTTCTCAACGGTTCAAATCGCTTCCCTTGCACCCAGTGGAACCGAATTCATACCTGGAGCTCATGAAATATTCACAATTCCATGTGTTTTGGATGGATATTTTTTCCGGCAATGTCGATTTCACTCATTGTACGAGACTCTTTTCAATTTCAATTAATTCGCACGCTGTGTGCACGCAAATCGGTTTGCGACATGCACAAAAGCAAAGCAAACTATAATGCGCTCAACGTAAATGCAAAAAAAATTGCATATGTCCATTGTTATCATTATCGTATATAGTATAGTTTGAATAAAAAAGAACACCTCTTATTGTTGCACTCACTCGCATCGATTGCATTTTTCTGCGTGGATACCATTTCTTTTGAAGTTTAAGTGGAAGTAGACACTCGTCTGTGCAATTCTTTTATCGCCTTACGCTTGTTAAAATCAAGCTTTTTCTTCCCTTTTCAAGCTTATCCTGCATAATTCAAACACATTCATTGAAAAATTAGCTATTTTCATCTCCAGAATAGATAAAGAGTTTCTGAACTGAAACGATTCAAAGGATTAAAATGTATAAAATGTATAAAATGGAAAACATCCCAAAGAAAGGGAAAAAAAATTCAAAGTCCATCTTCATATCACATTTAATAAAAGAAATCGCTTTGGGGTTTCTTCGTACAAAGTGCAAGTACAAAGTCATATTCCATTCTATTTTGTTGAATTAAAAAAAAAAATCTCGTCGTTTATAAGCCACAAGCAAGACTATAAATGTTCTACATCACCGTATAGACAGACGAAATGAGCAGAAATCTGAACTGGCAAAAAATCTTTTTGCCGCTTTGAAAATTTCCATAAAATGTAACTACATTTTGATGATTATATGAAAATATGTGGAATATTCACATATCGATTTTCACTTTGATTTGAAAATCTATCCCATAATTATTGTACTTTTCTTGTCGAATCACAAAATCCATTTCAAAATATGTATACTATGAATTACATCACAAAACATTTCAAATGCATGTTTTTAATGATCCGGTAAAATAACTGTATTTTTATTGGTGTGATTGGCATGTGCATTTTCTTTATTTCTTTCCAAAAATGTCAAGTGTTCGGTAAGCTGTGGCACTGGAACCCAGGTCAGAAGAATCGATTGCGTGCTACCGGCTTTGGAAAATGCCTCACAAGCTGATTATTCACATAGTCAAAACGATGGTGATGGCAATGCAAACGATGAAAAGAATGACCATATCGAATCATTTTCGGTTGCATCAAGCAATGGACTGATTCAACAATCAATGCAAATGCTCACGAATGAACAGATTTCAATGGACTGTGATCCGAAATTAAAACCAATCGCAACGCAATCATGCACGACTGGAATCGAATGCACAACGATAATTAACAACGATAATATCGACAGCAGTAGCCATGAAGAGGCTGATAGAATTACGAATGCATCCAATGAAAATGAGAACGAAAACGAAAATGATAACACTGAAATCGATGGCGATAACGACCGCGTCGACCACGAAGATGACAATGAAAATACAAATGCTGAATCTGATAATATTGATGATACGGAGGATGTAAATGTTGAATCAAATGCATATGAAACAAGTGTTGAGGGTACAAATCTAAATGTTGAGGAGGATGGCGATGGTAACGCTGAAAATGCCAGCGCTGAAAGTATTGCTAGTGTCGATAGTGAAGAGAAAGCAGACACTGAGGAGACCGAGGTATTTTGTGATATTCAATGGCCACTGATACACAATGTTGCAAATATATATATATTTTTTTTGTTTCGTTCTACCATTACTAATTGTCACTAATTACGGTGGTTTTGTTTTCTAATAATAATTCAGTTTTTGTTGTAGTTTTGAATATGTATTTCAGTTTTGTTTTAATATTTCAAATTTACCGAATTTATGCTCTTTAGTTACCGATAGCACATAGCAAATTAAATATGTTCGAATCTAATGATCTGATAATTAAACTTGCATATGGATACTATTTTGCAGGCTGATTACAAGAACGAATCCGATGAACAAGTGATGGCCGACGAAGAGGGAAAACAATACCATCGTCCGGCGCATTTAACCAGATCACATTTGCATCACGACGAACCATCCCCCGTTGCTGAACGATTTACCGATAAACGTTCGAAGACCGAATACCAAATGCCAAGCGAAGCAACGTAAGTGTCACTATAAATCGATAAAACCACTTAATCTCCAATCAACTATAAACAATACCATAGATTACCAGACAATAGCAATTACTGCGGAAGTTGAAAATTAAAAATTCACCATCCGTTCGAGATGAAATATGACATCGTATCTATTTTCCACAATTGTTGTGTATATGTTACCGCTTCTTTTTTTTCGCTCGCTGGTTTTTCGAATGCCACAAATTATGAACACAACATACAATGAGAAAAATTAATGTCACTCGAGTAATTTATTTAAAATGAGATAGGAAGAATGATCGAATGAAAAACACGGAATAAAATGGGACGCATAGTGGTTTGTTAGATTTATGACATTGGGGACAAAAAAAAGAAGAAGCAAAAACAAGCAGGCGTTCTGTGAATGTAGATGTAGCTCCAAATGTTCTCTGTATTTATAACTTGTACATATTTTTGAAATGAAAATCATAGTTGGCCGCGACAGCAAACGAACGCTGAAAAAATAAACACAAAAACAGTACAATTGCACGTGCATTTCACATGTACCGATAAATTTTCGCGCAACATTTGTCATTAACCTTAACCGTGTATGTGTGAGTGTGTGTGTGTGTGTGTTACAGTAAAAATACACAGATCCATACACAAATAAACAAAAAAGGCACGGAACATAAGCTTTAATAGCAATAAGTGGTTGCTTGCAATTACCACATGACACTATGAATTATTTATTATTCGATTTGCTATCACACTTAAGCTCAAGCAATCCGCACACGCAGATATGTTGCCATAACGCTTCGCGCACATCACGTCACAACAATCAAGCCGCAACACATACAAAACCGGGACAAAGCTGCAGATAGAATGTGTGACAGAGAGATAAAAAGTCGCACAAACACATTAATTTTTTGGTTTTGTTTTCACTTTACGAATCACAATAATTATTATTACTTGTGTGGAACAGTTGTCGGTTCGATGCTAAACAATGGATGCGCGTGAAAAAGTGAATTACACCAACATGCATATTTAATGGTGGATGTTGGCATTCAATTTTATTGCAAAAAAATGTTTTTGCGTACAATGATCATACTATTAAATACAAATTACGAATGAAAACCCATTTTTCTGACACTGTTTGGACGCTTGAACATTGTCTTTTTGCTCTCGCTCAGTTCGTGTGATGCGGTTTTATCTAAATAACAATTTATGGTTTCATGTGCATGTATTTATATGTCCGACCTTTTGTTTATGTGCCCACAGAGGTGAAACCATAGAAGACAACAAATTATAACGTTAAATTTTGTGTGGTGATACAACATATATATTCATTGTATTATAATTTGAGCGCTATGCACGTCGCATCGATTTGGCTCATGTGTTTAATATTTTATTTTTCAATTTCAAATGTTCACCGTTTTTTTTTTGCTTTTGATAACCGTGGAAAGCGTATGGTTTTTCCGTGATCCACATTCAGAGAAAATTAATTCAATCGTTGGTTTTAAATAAATTGAAAGTTCGCTGATTTATTTGTTTTTTGTTGTTTGCCACTTTCCATTATTATGATGAAAAATAATATGAAAATGGGCCCCATGCATTTATGTGCAATAAATTTCAATTATCGATGAACACTTGCCTCATACTCGTCGAACACTTGACAAAGAATTTTCGTCTGGTTTCTTTACATTAACGCGTTGATCTGTTTGTTGTAAATGCAATAAAGTATGTGCGATTTATCATTTTTATTGTAATTTAATGATTTTCTTGCAGATTCATAAAAGATACGAATTGGAGCGTATGTTCAGTCACATGCGGCGAAGGTATCCGAACAAAGCAGTATCGATGTAAAATTTTCTTGGAATTATCGCAAACACTGGCCACACTGCATAACGATTCGTTTTGTTTGGGACCAAAGCCAGCGCCTGAGGTCGAAGCGTGTTCGGCTCCGGAACCATGCTTTGGTGCCATGGCATCTTTTGGGTATGAAGATAATTATCCCAGGTAGTCATCGCCCCGTTCCGTCCACATTTATTTTTATTTTTATTCAACACATGCACATTCATATCCATGTTGAGAAGCAATTTAATATGCACTCCAACAAAATTTAACTCTACACACAAAAAAATATTGTATATATTTTGTATTTTGTTAAATAGAGATTCGATTAAGGTTGGAGTATCGGAGCCAGGTAAAACGTATATTTGGAAGGAACAAGGTTATACGAGCTGCAGTGCTTCGTGCTTGGGCGGTGTAGAAGAATTGATTATAAATTGTGTGCGTGAGGATACTGGAAAAGTAGTCTCTCCGTTTCTGTGTTCACCAGAAACTAAACCAGAGGCTCGAATTCGCACCTGTAATGATCGTCCATGTCCGCCACGATGGAATTACTCGGACTTTTCACCATGTTCAAAATCATGCGGAATTGGCATCAGAGAACGTGGGGTAAGAATCAAATCGTCTTGATTGAATAAAAAAAGCGGGCAAAATATTCAATTGAATACATGTTTCACATTCAGGTACAATGTATTCATGAGGTAACACGTGGAGGTGAAAATACTATGGTCGTGCCCGATTCAATGTGTCCCCAACCGCCGCCAGCACCGCGACAATATTGCAATATTCTCGATTGCCCAGTTCGATGGGAAGTTAGTGCTTGGTCAAAGTGCTCAAAGTAAGTCAGCATGTTTGTTTTTCGATTGAAACATGGAGCTTTTCGTTTGAAAATGAAATTTCTTGCAGGCCATGTGGTGGTGGATTTAAAGAGCGGAAAGTTGAATGTAAACAAATAATGGCAAAAGAGCATAAAGTCGAACGACTCGACGTATTGTGCCCAAACATGAAACCAGCACATCAAAAACCGTGTAACACGAAACCTTGTGCACCCGAAGACGAGAATCCATCTATCGCCGCCAGCAACACGACCTACATTCAACATGATCCGAAGAAAACGAAAGTTACACTTAAAATTGGCGGTGCGGCAACGGTATTTCTTGGCACACAAATTAAAATCAAATGTCCAGTCAAAAGGTAAATTATACAAATCTGTCATTCGTTGTTTTTGTAACAAATATTTCATTCGGCAAAATGTTTTGTCCATCTGTAGCCGATTTAATCGCACCAAAATTCGCTGGAGTAAAGACTCGAAGTTTCTTACAAAAACTCGGAATGTCAAACTATCAAAGAAAGGTGCACTTAGAATTTTAAATGTAACCTATCGTGATAAAGGCGTGTATGCTTGCCATGCCTCGATGAGTGTGTCCGAGTTGCGTCTCAGCGTGAAACCGAAACCAGGCGATCGTGAAGCCACATCGGCCGACTATGAAAGCATCGAAGAAGAAGAAGAAGAAGCAGAAGAGGACGACGACAACATTATTGACGGCGAGGGTAAGTGTTTCCATTTCTTTTGTGTTTGGCCATTGAAAATGTATTAAGTTGATCTTTATTTGATTGTGATGCCTTAGACGAAGACAGAACGGTAGCATATCAAGTGCCAGCGAAAAACATCAACGGAAGTCGGTAAGAAAATAATGTTTACTTTTCTTCTACTTTGATGTTTAAAATGAATGCCATGGCACGCAACTTGGATGATATTATTCAAACCGCACTTGCCATTTTTACCCACTCTCATTCCAATTTCAGACTTAATCAATTGAACAAAGACCAAAACCACCAAAAGGATTTCAACAATATACGCCGCACGGACAAAAAACTAACCCAAAACGAAGTGAGTACAACAAATAAAGTATATACTTTTGGTTTGAGTTTTGCTTTTTTCCCTGTATATTTCTCTCTTCCGAATCGAAGAAATGAAAAAAAAAAAAAAAAACATACAATAGACTTGCTGTTGTTGTGCAGGGTACCTACACTTCTTCATTGTGCAAACAATTTCCATCTGAGTGAAGCTTGACTTTTATTCATCCATGAGTGAGAGAACGTATTTTCCATTAAAAAAATATATCGCACACACACACACACACACTAACCGAGATGCACGCATATACAGACAAAGTCCATATTTTTGTGTGTTTGTTATTCACCACAAAGCAAACATAGCGTTCGCTTCAACTCTAACAAACAATTGCTTACAATGCACACCCATACATATTCATCCAGCTGCTAAAAATCAATGCTGAATAATCTGTTTGTTCAGCGCTGCTATCGGGCGCTTACTCAATATGGTTTTTTCAAACGGACTTAATTAAATAAATAACTATTTTTATTCGATTTCAATTCTTTAAAAAAGAAAAAAACAAACAAACAAAAGTATTCAGAACTAGTGGGTGAGGCGAACGAAACAAAAACAAAATCTCGTAGCGACTCAAAATTCTCGAAATACCAATAGCGCATGTAATTTATGCGAATCGAGAGAAAGTGCTGCAACCCGGGATCCATTCATTGTTGAAGTGAATTTGTAAATATATAGAAGAATTCTCCCCATTTTTAAACCGAAAATATATCGGTTATCAATCACATCGTATAAGTGGTCGACTCCAATTCAGGCAAAATAAAATCCAACATCCGTTGCACTTGAATTTCTCAAGAATTTTTAGTTGGTTTTAGGTGTTTTTTTCTTCTTCTTCTTCATCGTTCTTGTTTTGCTGCCCCATGCTATTATTGGCTTTTAGTCAAAATTCCATTTTCTTTCGACTCCTCGACTCTATCTATGAGGTAAATGGAGCGCACTTAACCCTTAAGAAGTTTGTTCTTCGATTGAATTCATTTAAAGACTGGGCATGAAAAATAAAGAAAACTTAAGTGGAAGCAACCGAAAAAAGTGTAAATAGCCACGCCATAATCGAATTGACGCGTACATTTTATATGGAAAATAGAAATGAAAAGTCGCACTCAATTGTTTAAGATGAAAGCCGAACGAATTACACATAAAAGGCTGAGAAAAAAAAGCTGAAGAAAATTCAGAACAATGAAGATCAATAAGTTAATCTCTTTTTGGGCACTTTTTTATACATTTTCGCTCGTGTTAATCAATCAAGTAAAAATGCTTACAGCCGAAATCGTAGCAGCTGTCTCATCCTCTCTCTTGAGCACACACACCCTTACAGTATAGACATTTTCTTTTTTCACGGTCGGTTTTATTCGCCTTGTCAAGTAACCATTAAATATTGACATGCCATCGAATTGATTTAACGCTTAAATAAATTATGAGCGAAAATAAGCGCTAATTATGAACGTCTTTCGCGCGTTTTCTCAACAGTCTGCCTACATTCAAAAGTGGTTTTTCTCTATTTTTCGTGCTTTTTTTGTTGTTGTTGCTATAAGATATCAGAGCATTGCCACTGTTCAACATCAGAATCCATAATTAAATTATTGATTAACACAATTAGCCATTCAATTATTTAGATAATTATAACCTATTAAACATGAAACGCTTACACTGCCAATTCACTGTTCCCAAACCAGATATCAATTGCATGTGTATACCACTTTTACGCCTGAGTTGGCCGGCAATTCAATCTTGAATTTGGAATAATTCGTTGAATTTCTTCAAAGTGCCAAAGTTGATCCACTTTATCCTAGCATTGAACTTCATTTGTGAATTTCCATCAATTTTCTCAAAGGATGCATTTATGGGAATTAATTAAACTGATTAAATTTGGTTTGCGTGTGGAATGTGGATATTGAAGTTAAAGTGCTTCATAATTAAGAACCACCATCATAAATACTGTCCGAATTCGATGTTCGTCTGGGGAGCTTCACTTTAAAAGCTATTAATTTAGTCTATTAAAAAAATAAAGCAATCAATTACTCTGCTTCATGAGTTTGATAGCTTTGAAGTAAATGGCAACAAAAAAACACAAGATAAATTTCCGATTTTTTGTTCGTGTGCAGAGCGAAATAGTGAAGTTGCCATTGGTAGTGAAAAGTTTATCCGTGTTTTGTGAAATGTTGTCGGTAAACCACACACATATATATATAAATAAATAAGCTTGGTGCAAAAATTCGGAATAGGGAAAAATAAAACATCATTTACCCGAGCTTATTCATTTCGCCTTTTTTGTTTGCCTTTCTTTTTAGAAAAAGAAATGTTTATTTTTATGTTGTTGCATAATCCACACTAAACACATACAAAAAAAACTAAATTCCTTTGCTCTTTGTATTGCGCACACTGTTCCGATTAAAAATAATCCGAAATAGGAACTGAACGATGACAGTCCATTGTCAGCAGCCAGTAGTTCTGGAACGAGGACCGTACCAATGCCACATTTTCAACATTTGTTGGCAAGTCTACAGGTGAGATAAATCGATTTCAGTGCTCTCACACACAGTCATTACTTTAAACTACACACTCTTCCTTGTATGCATTCGACAATCACGAAACCTTTCGTTTGTTTTTCTTTGTGCCTTTCAATCCCGATTTTTTTTTTAGACATACACATACATATATTTTATTTGGATCTCTTTTTTTTCTTGATCTTCTTCATGTTCATAACTACACAAAATATTGTGGTTTCTATTTTATTCGTTCAGTTTTTATGTGTTTCTTTTTTTCGATGTGAAAAAATGTTTTTCAAGTGTTTATGTTTGTTTTACTGATAGTTCACATCCTTTTGACTGTGGTAAATTTTTCCTGTCCGGTTTTGTTTTGTCTTGTCAATATGAATTTCTTCGTCTGTTTGTCATTTGAATATCCAGTTAGTATTTGCATTTGCACCACCATTTCTAATACACCTTTTCACTTTATCATAATCACACATGTACATATATGGAGTTTTTTTTTATGTAAAGGTATCCAAACAGCCTAGAATGCGGTTTTCCATTTAATTTTATTAAACTTCTTCCCAGTTGCTTTTCAGTTTGAAAACTTTGTTCTTGAATACAGTCAATGTGGAAACTTTACTCTATTATCTACTTACAAACATTTGATCACTGTTAAATTAGAAAATCGAAATTCGAAAAGGCATTGGACCCGGCAGCCTTTCGCCGGTCTCTTAACAACTTTCCAATAGTTCATTTGGTCACAGATTATGGGGAGCAACAAATTGCATGCGTGTGTGTATGTTTGTGTCTGTGTGTTGTCGCTAAGTTTATTTGTGGCCAGAGAAAATAAATTTGACTGTGAAGTTTCAAAACCACAACACAAAGTGCTGACAGTCTGAAGCACTTTCGCAACAAAATTCCTTCTCGAATATCGTTTGTTTAAAACATAAAGTTGGCGAAAAAACCGAAGAAAACTTATGCTTTCCAATTCATTTACTTCGAAGACAAATGGTAAAATTGACAAATCATTAAGCAAAATCATTGAAGATGGTTGCAACACACTTGCACATTGTTTTGGGAATGAAGATACACAAACAACAACAACGAGAGAGAAAAAAAAATTGTGGGAAATTTCAGAACTAGGGGAAACATTTCGTACATCGTAACACTTATAAATGGCATACTCAAAAACACAATTCATAAACTGCGTCCGTATCATTGTGCAATGGTAAAAGTTTTTGTTTCAGTCATTTGCAATTACATCGCAATGATTTGCTCGAAAAATGGTAAAACGAAATGGAATACAATACATATACGATACGTACACCTACCGCAGCAGCGTATAGCACCGTACACACATACATAAACAGGAACACACAAGAAATTAGCCATATTTCGAAAATGCAGAATAAAAGGGAAAAATAATTTGCCGAGCAGATTAATCCATGCTCCGTTTTTCCTTTTGAAAATGCAATGAGAAAATTTTCAATCAGCACACGAAAATCACAGCTTGTTTTTGGCCCAACGAAGTGAACGGCATATCCAAATCCCAAGAATACGATGCGAGAAAGGCGAACGAGAGAAAAAGAGAGCGAAAACTGAGAGCAAAAAAAAAAATGTACTGCAACTGCATGAGATTGGTAATGAAAGCCGAATCAAAAAAAAGGGAAAAAGTGCACAGAAAATTGTCCCACAAAGTTTTCGTGTGTTTTTGCATTTTGGCTTTCGGTGTTTTTCGCATATTTTTAATATATTTGTCTGCATTTGAGTTTACAGCCATAATATAATGCTGCCGTTTGGCAAACACGACAAAAAGTCAAGAAACAAAGTAAAAATTAAACATAGCCAAAAGGCCCCAGAGCGGGGCGAAAGAGAGAGAGAAAGAGCGAACAGGACGAAATGAAAGAACAAACAAAATGTGTGCAACACATATTCTCACATGGAATAATAATATTTGATGGCAAACAAACGAACGAACCGGAGAAAAACCAACTAAATTGTATAAAGTTAAACATAATTGTAAGGAAAAACAGGATATCAAACGCCAACGTGAATATGCCGACGTGATGTCCTTGCCAAGTTGAGCACTGCGACCAAGAGCCCTGAGTCTGCCTATGGATTATGTGTGTGTGCTTTTTTTGAGTTTGATACGGAACAAGAACAACTTTTACACAATGCTGCAGCTTATGCTTTCGTAATAAATTACACTCGCGTACATGATGCCATCCACACATACACACAGAGGAAAACACACACACACATACGCACACATGGCACATGGCCACAGAGAGAGAGAAAAGAAATACAAACGATGAATTCGCTATATATATAAGTTTTGCCTGTTTTGTATGCCTCTCGTCCAGGGTGCACTCGATTCATTGAACCTCGGAACTCATTCGAATGTGTTAGGTTTGTCATCTCCGTGAAACATTTTAACATGCTAAAAAAGGGCAAACGTGCTTGCAAAAAATCAACGTTGCCGTTACTCAACCTCATTGCATCATTCTCAAATCTCACATGCGAATTGTGTAATGAGTCTTATAAACACACATACTCGCATGCATGCATACATTGCAAGGCAAACGACATTATGCGATATGTGTGCCGCGGCCGTAGATACTTTCTATAATTTATCCCAAATCTTCGGTGGGAAAAGCGTGCACAAAATGATGCTGTTCAGAAAGAAATTACATGTGTGTTTATTGAGCGCGCAAAGTTTCCGTGTTTGCACAAAAACACGATGTTACTTGTACAAACACATGCGATTCGCATACTAGAGCAACGTGGTCACCAAGTGAATAAACGTTTCGTTTTTCATCGCCGACAAAAATGAACGGTCGTTTGCCATAACTTTATTTTTCAGCATCATTTTCTGAATGGCGCAACCATTTCTAGCATTCTTGCTTTCTTTTCGGCTTTGTTAGCTTATTTTACCGACTTTGTAGCTCGATTCTTTTCGTTGTCGGCATTCTCATGTTTTCCTATTCAATATTTTCGAGTAAATTTTTTTCGTTTAAGTCAAAATACAAACATTGCATTACTCATACAGAAAATGTGATACATTTGCGCGCACTTGGTTTTGTTGCACACATGCGATTCATCAGAGCCGTACATGTAAGATAAAAACATTTATGTCGTGCTTAATTCAGGCACCATGTAACTTCATAATCATGCATTGAATACAATATTAGATGATCGTTTGTTCGCGATTTCACCACAACCAAAATGCCTGCAGTCGACATTAAATAAGAAACAAACAGAAATATTAACATGCAGATGCAATTGACATTGAAATTGACGAGAATATTCGCGGATAATGAATGTATTCGAAACGTTTTGCTGAATTTTTGTACGCGATGAACATTATATACATATTTTACGATCTAAGTTTCGGATCACGAAAAAGAGAAATAATAACGTCGTCGTGATTACTTAACGAATAAAAAGAGTTTTAGGCAGTAATTAGGAAATGAATAATTGATCCGGCGGAAATATTTATGAAATTGAGTTGAGATTTAAGATGTGTGTTGGGGGAGAAAAAACAAGTTTTTCACATAATTAACATGAAATGAATTATAGATGTAAAGTAGAACACATAAATTGAATGCGTGGCGCTTTCATATTTAATGGTTCATAAATTTCTTTTATAATTTGTTGTATGCTTGACAAATACATATATATTATGTGACTAGACGCAGACCTACTCATTACATGTCAACTAGTTCAATTTTTGTTTTTGTGAGGTTATGCAACGCACACACACGAAGGTCAAAACTCAAAAGTCTCCAAAAGATTCAGTCATCAAAATACGATGAGCGTTAACATTAAATTCATCATGTTGCAATTTGTTTAAATGAAATGTAATGTGGTAAATAATTTACATTCAATGTAAGAAAAATAAACGGGTGCCAAAATAAATTTGAATACAAGCAGACAGCTTTTGCATTGGCAAGATGCTTCGAGTAAATATGGTATTTTCAAGTACCGGAATTATTGTGTGGAGAATCATGAACGAACGTCATGCACATAAGCCCACACATTCTTTGCTGATGGGAAATTCCATGTTTACATCTCAACCGACACACCAAATTATGTTTTTTATATACAAAATACCAACAAAAACACTTTAGCTAGACACGCTTGACACATACACACATGCAATACATATCGAATGGCAGAATATGCGAGCTTCAACGAAAAGATCAACACCTCATAATAATCGCTTGATGAGAATATGAAATTCTCGAATTCTCGACAAATACGCAATATGTTTAACCCTTTCAAGCTCGAATATTTCCCTTGCGTTCTTGAGGAAATGAAATGAACCCCTCTCTCTCTCCCCATCTTCAGTGGAAAAAACACCAAAAATAAACAATTTGAGTCAAGACTGAAGCGTTTCCGATTGCATAGGTAAATGTTTTCTGACGCCTCATTGTGATGAGCGCGAAGTGTTCGAATAACTGAACAAACGTTTTAAGAAAATATTTGCATAAAAACAATAAATAAATTTTAGATGAGCTCGCATGTTTTCGCGTCGGTCGTTCTTCGAAAAGTGAAAACTGTGCATAAATCGACACTGGCACACATAAAATATATAAATTTTCATTGAGCTTTCCACGATCTTCATCATTCTACCGCCATAAATGTGTTATTGCATCTAATTAGAATGTTTAAAAATGGTTTTATTCCATATGCGGCAAAGAGCACAATCATAAAAGATCACATGTAAATATTTTCTGTCTTGAGGGTTTTGATGAAGTTGCCTTTAATAATTCTTCGTGTGCCAAAAAGAAAAGATGCCATCGTCGCAATCAAAATGCATTTGTTCAACAATCTTTGAAATTTATGCAAATAAATAGCGACAAAACGCAAAACGTTAATATGTAAAATAAGAAACAAGTTTCCTCGAACTAGAAAATGCGCAACGTTTTGCAATTGCAAACTTAAATGGAGTTATCACATCGACAAAAAATGTTTATGTATATATTTTGACATTTCAATATAATCCCACTGAACATTTTTCGAATTATGAATATTCTCAAACTATTTAAGGATAAATCCCAATTGACATTCGTAATAACATTTGTCACCACTTCTTTCTCCTTTTTTCCAAGCGAAGAAATGGTAATTTTTTATTTCAGCATGAAAAACATTCAAAATTAATGGGAAAGTTTTGAATTTTACTTAAATCATCCGGATTTTGAAAGAAAAATTATGTCAATCCAATTTTCGAAATTTTTTGGAAGATCACAGTGATACGCGGACATAGAAATTTCCACACAGAATGCCCCATCATTTTCTTATCAGGGATTCCATATGCTACAAAACGTATTACAATATTGAAGAAAGAGTTAATTTTTCCTTTAATTTGTCTATAATTTCAAAAACCATATTATTTCATCTCACCTCATATATTTAAAGTTTGTTTTTTACAAAACTGTATAAGTAGAATAGAAAAAGAAGAGTGTTTCGTGCAAGCATTGAATTTGTCAACAAATTATTCGATAATAGTTTTACTCAAATTTTGGTATTTCGATATATTATTTTATTATTCAATGTCCTTGAAAAAAACGATAAACACATACTCATACACACAATATACACAAATAAACAACACAAAAACACATATAATTCCGACCGTTTATGGGAGGACAAGCACACGGACAAAACACTAAGACACGCAAACCAACAAAAACAACATTACACACCCAATTAATAGGTAATCAAAAGCAAACATTATAAATAATTTCGGTTAAAAAAAGCGAGTAAACCTTATGCGCTTGAGCTTTTACATTAAATGCTTTCGATTTAATCGTTTTGATTTGTTAGCATGAACTTTGTCGTCGATTCAAGTGACGTATAGTTGCCTATAACTTATTGCATAAAAGTATTTCATTGAGATCGATGAGAGTGTTGAACGGTATAATATTTTATGGTATTTCGAAGAATTTTTTTTTACTTCATCGAATCGTTTCGATGATGATTTCAAGAATCGAACCACCAAAAAGACGAACAACATTGAATGGTTTTTGGTTTCGTATGCGCACTTGGCTGTCTGATTTTCCTTCATTGCGAAAAACTTTGAAATGATTAATTTATCTATTGCATGTTATTTTATCGTTAGTATAACCGAGATAGACAACTTTCAATAATAAATGCTTGAGTTTTCTTTTTCGTCATTTAGCGGCACCCGATTAAAGCGGTGGTATTTTGGATAAAGTTTTCGACGATTCTCGTCTACTTTCCGTTCCAATTTTATCGCTGTGTGCAAACAAATTTTCTTTGCTTCGTGAGCTTTACTTTAGTTTGTTTTCTCCAGCCAAATAACTTAATAATCGCTCGCATTCCAAGTTATGATAAGCGGCTACATTTCATACCACATATTCTGCATAATTTGTGGTAATATTTAAATCGAAGAATGCTCCGCACACTTGAAACACTCATTCAAGAGAGACGCGGTATCCATCGATCGGTATTTTGTATGCTTTACCAATCGATTATTATTATATTGTCGGCTTTATTGCACAATATGGCACAAAAAGAGGTTAAACTGTTTATCTACTGAGTGCCAATTACAGTGGATATATCATGGTGTTCAATGTTCATTTTGTTGTTTACTCAAACAAATAAAAAAAAATGTATTTACATTCGGAAATAAATTGTGGCCCGGAATTTTATCACAGAATTGCTATTTTTCCACAATTGTATTTCAATAATCTGTTTAAAAAAATGGAACTATCCATAAATTCGATGGACTTATTAAATATTGTACATTGATTTAATTAAGTAATATTCACTGATTTGCTGCATGCTAATCAGTTGATCGAATGTTTTGTTAAATCGCTACAATATCCACTCACACACAACAGAAATAGCAATCATCCAATGCGTTCGTTTCAAACTGTCAATTTACATGCATAAATTGTAGTGGATTTCTGTCTAATAAGAATTTAACCGTCGATAATAATGATGGTATCCTCCACCTTCTATGGCAATGGTTACAATTTAAAATTGATTCACAACCAGCATATTGGATTATTTCTACTTCTGTTTTGTGTGAGCAATCAACAATAAATTAATACAAATGAGACACCGATGTAAAAAAAAACTGAATTGAACGCACTTCCGCATAATGTATGCACAAAATTTATTTACATTTTTACATGAAAATCCGAATAAAGTTCTATTTCTAATGGATAAACGCGGGCTATGTTGGCATGATCACTTAAATAGCTTTATATCATTGTTTTATCGGGCTGTGTATTTTGCATTTTGTAGATAGATTTGCTATTCATTTTACGTTATTTTGTATATATTTTATTGTCTAAATGGAAAGATGCACTAATTGAAATCTATTTATCGATGAGCATATTGATAATGTGTAATGTGTGCATGATGATGCTTGGCATTATTTTTGTTTATATTTTACAAAATAAATCATTTGATTTGTTAATTAAATGGCTTTGCTTTTAATTGGCATAAATAGATGCGAATAAGTCGAGAAATAAATCTAATTAATGAAATCGTGTTTTTTGTAGTTTTTGTGGCCATTTCAGAGTTTTAGCAATTCGAAGGGACGAAATTATCTAGTCGAGCACGGAATGAAAATTGGCATTGATTTGGATTCGGTGGAAAATGATGATCCGGTAGTTGGTTTTAATCAATTATCATTAGGTCAAGGTGTGGAAAATGTGACGGTTCTTGGAAATGGACCACGCGATAGCGTTAAATTCGAATGGATGGTAACACCGTGGACGGAATGCTCACAAAATTGTGGCCCAGAGATTGGATACAAGGTAAGTTTATATTGCAATTCGTGATTCTGGTGTATGGTTCTCATCAAAATGCATAATACCTGTATACCTGATGCGATTAAAATATTTTCCAGTTTCGACGAACACAATGTATGGTTCGATTACATAATACAACACAAAACGTAGACAGTGTATTGTGTAAGGATGCTGGTTTATCAGAACCAGAAACATTTGAAAAATGCGGAGGTGAAGAATGTGCCCAATGGGTTGCTGGCGAATGGACATTGTGCTTACAATCGCGTTGCCAGAGACGCCACAAAGCCATTCAGGATCGAAACGTGTTGTGTCTGTTTCCAAACAACACCGAAAGCGATTTATGTGATCCCAATGAAAAGCCAATCACTCGGCAAGAGTGCGATAACCAACGATGTATACCAGTTTGGCGCATGGATGAATGGACTGATGTAGGTCACACCAAATTTTAAATACTTTTATTTTTCGTCCATCGATTGATAACCAAATTAATAACCCATTATTTCATCATTTTCACATTGTTCCATTATTTACTTCTCGCACAGTGTAAAGCTACATGTGGTCAAGGTGTTAAATACCGTACTGTCAAGTGTGTTTGGTATGGCTCAAATCGACGTGCCATTAATGGATGTAGAGATACACCCATGCCGGCTATGAAGAAAGAATGTAAAGGTCCTCCGTGTGCTGAAAATTGTGAGTATTAATATCCGGTTCCTTCATACATTTTACCTATCTTTGTTAAAATTTAGACATTTTTCCACTTGATTTAATTTGATTTTTCATTAATTTTTCATTTTGTTTTATTTGTTTTTTTTTTGTCATTATCTTTTGTTTAAACGTGAAGATGCTCAATGTAAAGATTCATCCCGATATTGTACTACCGTTCTATCAATGGGTCTTTGTAAATTACATCGTTACCAGCAAAAATGCTGTAAATCGTGCCGATCAAAAAATAAATTCTAATGAAATTCATCTTCGATTTAAGACAATTAATTTGAATAAGCAACAAAATTATTTTGTTAACATTTTCGACTTAATTATTAATATTTATACGGAAAGCTCACAAATAAAATATCCTGGAAAAATGATTAAATTTTAATTTATTTTGTTTATTTTATGATTTTGATTCTTATTTGTGCTATAATTTGATCGATTTTTATCCATTGTCTTCCAAAAAGTTTATTCGTTCTTTTTTTCTAATTGCCAGTGATTTCAACTGGAAAATCACCCGAAATGCATTTGGGATATTCGGTGCTGTGGCTAATAGGTTTGCAAATTTGCTTTTATTTAATTAATTTTGCAATGAATCGATCGTCGTGTTGATTAGACATTTGCTGTCTAAGATTATTTTCTGAACAAAATTGCCGGTAGTTTCAACTAGCTGATTAAAGAAGCCTGTAAAAATTAAGGTATTTTACGAAAACTCCGAGGAACGCAGTTGAATGGCCAAATATTATCTAAACATATAAAAAAAATCAATGACCATATCCAATATCGTTTTAAGCAAATCTTGAATTTTTAAGTAACACCACAAATATATGATTCTGAATTAATCTTTTTTAACAAAATTTTTTCGACGAAATCGAACATCGTTTATGCTATATTGAGAGTATCGAAAATGATCTCAGGTTTGTTGACCATTTTGTTTATTTTCAAATTGAAATTCTGTAAATATTTTTTAAAATCTTAGTTTGAGTGATTTTTCTTTCAATTTTGGAAGATATAGAATGCATTTTTTTAAATTATGAAATTGAAAAGAATGTAGACATCCATAGTTTTGCTTGCTATGAGTAATGTATGTGGCGTCAAAGTTAGCCGGAAAAAATACCATTTAGTTAGTTATTCCAACAACAGGTATCACTGAAGGCTTGTCGGTTTTTGTCCTTTCTGAGGACTTTGAAAAAAATAAAATAAAGTGAAATCCACAAAAACGTCTCAGACACTGTCTGACAGACAGGAACAAAATCCGACCAGCCTAATTAAAACACAGAAACTGCATATTTATCGGTGACGTTAAGTTAGTACAAACAGATTTTTGGAAAATAAATTACCAAAAACAATAATGATTAAACTAGAACACATTATAATATAATGAGTGACCAGAAGACACGTTTCGACACTTAATAAATGCAATCATAAAATAATTGATTTCATCAGGTACCAATTTTAATTTTCCGAACTAAAACCAAAGGTTATTTCAATTTTCACATGAAGCCTGTAAGTTAAGACTACAAGAGAAGTGAATTATTGTCTTCGGGTGCTGAATCTTTTAACCTTGTGGTCTTTGTGATACAGACAAACAACAAATGACCACCCTCGTGAAAATGTAAATCATCAATATTGAAAATGGCACAAGAATTATTCCACAATGAACATATGCTCCTACCAGTAAAAAAAATGTAAGTTAATCAATTTCCTTGATACAGCTTCCATTGCCAATGAGCATGGTTTAAGAAAATAAGATAAAAATGCACTTTCTTCGTAAGTTCATTGTACGTACTCTTATTTAGTCTTTTCATAAGGGATTAAACCAAGTATTGCCGTTGCATTGCGCAAACATTGCTTTTAGCAGAGAGCAACTTAAGAGAAGTTGCAATCAATTTATCGCAAATTAGAGTTGCCTATGTAATTGTTTGATCATGTGGCCGGTTAGTTTTAACAAGGATCGAATAGCAAATGTAAATATTTTGAAATGGTTTTAAAAGAGATTACGTCCATTTGCCATTTTACAAGTTTTCCCCCATTCATCGGGTATCCACGTACAAACACGTACAAAGTGACACTCAAGCATTGGTGGCCAAAATTCATACAGTTAGAAAACAATAATTTAATATGGAGGTAACAACTAAAGTATCTAACTACTTCAAACTATACCAAAACTCAATAAAAATAGATTGAATTTACAATTTAAATAAACGCTACATCATGTTCCGCACAAGTGGAAGATTTGATCATTTGCATAATTTGATGTCGTTGCTCTCACCAGACAAATTAAACGCAATTTTGGTTTCTGTTATTTCAAGCCGAATTAAATGTAAATAAACTTTAAATTGTAGCTGTGTTAACATACACACATACGCAAATACACACAAACACTTTCACTTGAATAATGAATGATGAATCTAATGGAAATGGATACACATCGGTATATCCATCACATACACAAATCATTACGTTTAAATAAATTGAATAACGATATTTTCTAAGACTAGTTAGATATTTAGGTAAAACACAAAACTGAAGGAGGATCACATGAAAAGCTTAATGAATATATATTGAACATTTGTACTGATATAGAACTAAAACCGATGGAATATGAGAAACTCGATTCATTATTTAGTATTTGTTCGATATATCGGAGAATTCGGTTTAAAATCGCAACGATGCATCATAATTGATGTATCAGCTAATTTATTTGCATTCAAGAATGAATTCCAGTTTTTGAGAATTCATATTTTCCACTAGTGGTTTATCAATTTACTGTAAATGGAAAATAATTCTCAACTAAATATAGTCAGTCATTATATATGTTGTAAAATAAAAGAAAAAGAATAAAATAGCTCATACAGTACGTTTTTGTTAGATAAAAAATGACAAATTAGGCAATATTTATTTCAATTTTGTTTCGAAAAAATGAGAAAATGCAAATGAAAAAAAAGTCCGAAGTGTGAGTAACAGAATAGTCAAGATAGTGCCATATGAGCGGCCTGAATATATACATATATATCGGCAACATAAATAAACCATTCAAATATAATCCAATATACTACAAATAGACGATAAATGCATATAAATATATACATACAAATATTATATAATTGTTTTAACCAGCCAATAGACAAAAATTGTCGTCATTTACCCACATTTTGGAAGCAGTGCCAATTCCTGATACCATTTTCCGGTAGATTTTATACGGTTGCTTTCATTCACACTACAACAATCTCTCAATAAACGAATAAGCTCACTTCAGTTCGATTGTTTTCCTTCGAACCATCTCTCTGCAAATGTAATAAAAAAATAATTTACTCGAAATAAATAGCATGGAATGGAGTATGAAATCTAATGAAAAAAAAAACATATGGAATATACTATACATATACCGTTATAAGTGTAAGACGGTCACTACTAATTAATGTAATAAATTATAGCAAACAATTGCATAAGATATTATCAAATATGAATTATTGATATGGAAATAAAGCAGAGCCAACAATGTCATGTTATTTATTTTTAACAAAATAACTAAGAAAATTCTGCGTTTTATTTCGCATCCCTTGTCGCATGCATTTGTATTGATCTGTATGTAATTCTATTGAATTGATATAGACTATTGTGGGGGTAATAGCATTATGTATATCTGTCTGTGTCTATATCTATATCTGTATCCGCTCCACTCAAGCGCTGTGTGTACACTGTACACACCAAGTGTATTTTTTCCAGTGGTATATGATTTCAATATGAATATTTATTTCGCTCTTCAGTGCATTTTGAGTGCCAAGCAGCAATAACAATTCTTTGCCAAATGTTTCGAATAAAGGAAAGAGAACAGAGAAAAAAACACATCACATCGATCCAACCACGCATTGTAAGTGAAATAGATCAGAAAGAAATGAAGTTATGTTTTGTATGTTCACAGCCATTTGAGCGACAATAAGCCATTCTATTGGAGGCAATATGCCAAACAAATGACACAATACAAATGGAAAACAATCCGACACAGTGGCACCAAATTTACAAAGCAATTTAACATCGAAATGCCAACGCGGTTGTGGCAAAATGTGACTATCAATTAAAATAATGATTCGTTTTTTGTAGACAAGCTTGAAATGAATGACAAAAAAGGATACCAATTCTTGCTTACTTGAATTTTTTTTTATTTGTAGACTCAAGCATTGAATTATGAATCTCAATAGACATGCTGTACAAACATTTCATGCGCATTTAATATTTCATAATATTGTAATTATATTTATATTGACAGAAATAATGCTGAACACGAAATAATTTAGAACATTTAATTGCTTTGTAATGAATCTGGATAGTGCAACATGGAAGGAGACCATGGTAAAATTTCATTTATAAATTAAATAGTTCCGCTTCAATAATTATAAGAGGATCGATTTAGTTTGCAACATTTAAACTTCCACCAATGTTACAATTGACTTTCAAGGTGTTGTGAGCAAAACAAAAGCTTAACACTGACGTTTCTGTTTACATAACAAGTTGTTACTAACAACCTCAATGTAAATTATGAAATTAAAATGTCCTGGAATATTATGAAAAGTTTAAATTAATTTTCAATTCGATATGCGCCACTTTATCCACGAAAATTGAACATACATTTCAGGGTTTAAATGAACTTGAATTATTAATGAATTTTACTTTATGTTCGGTGTCGTTTGGATGTGCAATTATTTCGTTTTTCCGCTTAATAAGTTGATGTTTTTAATTGAAATTGACGATGAAAATGAAACAATGGGAAGAAAAAATCGATGAAATACAGCATGGCTGGAACAACAGTCTCTCTATCTTTGGACATAGTCCATAACACAGCCACTGCATCCGAGTCAACTTACCCGAAACAATTCATTAAATCAACTGTACATCATTCGTTTTATCGACCGAATTTACTGCAGGTCAGTATTTATATTTACTATATCTATATTTCTCTAGTGAATTTACTTCGCTGTCCACAAAATGGCCAAATTCATTTAACTCATTTTAATAAATTCATCTTATAATCCGAAAAACAAACATGAAGTTGATGAACAGCGCATTTTATTACAGTTTTTTTTCTACTCTCTATGAAGACCATAGCAAAATGGTGCCCGTGAAATTTTATACAACAAAAATATTGCAGTTTCGGAAAGCAATTTCACATGGACTCTCTTTTTTTCTTTGATAATTTTGAATTTTATATAGGTCATGTTGTATTAATAATAAAATGAATTGAAAATTGTATTTTCGATGCCTGATAGTTTGCGAATATCTCTATTAAAATTCAAACCGTTTTCTATAGCAGCGCTATTATCGTTCTGCCAATAAACTGTCAACAAATTTGTTGAAATAAGTTAGTAAATTAGTGGATGACAAGAATTGCATCGAACATTATATATTCGTAACTGCAAAAACCATATCTCTGTGCAATAAATAAAAAAGCGACAGTTTATTTTTTTAATGGAGCATGCGGCATTAACTGCACAAATCGTGTTTGTTGAATGAATTAATCTTTGGAATCTTTTATTGCTCAAAGTTATGAGCATGTTTATTATGGTATTTATGAAGCGAGTTTCTTTTTCATAGGAATTTATCATACACAAACGTATCAGCCTAAAAAGAAATTAACAAGTTGGTGTTATGAATGGAAATGGATATAACGAAGTCACACTCAAACTGAAAATCATGTACGAAATCCTTGTTTTTCTTCATCTTTAATTCGCTTTCATTTCTTTCAAAAGTGTAACCTTTTGCTTATTGTAAATCATATAATATGATTTATATTTTTGGTAAAATTCCAAAATATTTCAAGATATATGCGCCAATCCGCGGATACGAATTATAATGAGACTAAAAATGGGACAACATTTATGCGGAAGTAGGCCTTTCTGGGTTGGTAACATATTTTTACTATGGGAGTCATACATGGGCACAGGGGGTGTAAGACCGGATAACCCCCAAGAGAATCTCCCACTTTTGTGCGCGAAATTGTTAAGATTCTTTGGATTGGCTAGGAATTTTGATTAGCGGATGGACCCGCTTAAACTTTTACCGCGCCCATGAATGATGGAAGTACACATCTTTAAGACTGCTCCTAACATCAAAATCGCTCTTCGAAATATCAACACATCAAGGGTAAGGAATGAATCGTATTACATTCGTTTTATAAAAATGTTAGACATGTTTTTTAGTCAGCCCCTACCGTTACTGTAAGCAAACATGGTATCGGTCAGTACCATTATTCGTTCTTAAATAATCTCTCCACGAACTCTTACATTTTAACAATTGCATCAATTTAAACATTCTATATAATTTTCGTTGACAGCGACTTTCTAAGCTC